CACCGTTCCCGCCAGGCCGGTTGCATTTGTCCGACGTCCCAAAGGCGCCATTCCACGGTAAACTCGAGCGGCACCACCCCCTCGTGGCCATCTACGCGCGCGCAGGCGCGACTTTTCGGCGCCGGAAATCCGGGACACGTGACCAGGTGACAGTCCTCGCTCGGTGGCGGGGCTCGCTCGAGGTGCTGCGGCACAGCACGGGATGGCGGAGGCACCTCCGGTCTCAGGTACTGTCCGTGTCCCCGCGCGGGACCTCTAGGGTGCGGCGATGTATTCAAGCTAGGAGATCGGAAAGATTCGGGCCCTTAGGTGGCGAGAGGGGCGCGTGCTGCGCGTGGACAGTGGCTCGCAAGGGCCAAGCCACGCGCGCCGCGCGGACGGACCTCTCCACCATCTTCCATAGGGTGGTGAAGCTCGGCTCCTGGGTTTCCGAGGAGAACGGACGGGTCCCGGGGCCCAGCGAGGGGACATGGGGGACGTGGGCATCCCACGCCTCCGCGGGGCTCCTTCCGGCCTTGCCGAGACAGCGCGACCTAAGTCCGGCGGGCGGGCGGGCGGAGGAGGCGGCGGCGGCGAGTCCCCGTAGCGGGCCCTGGAGTCCAGCGAGTTTGCGCGCAGCGCTCGGGGAGTGTTCTCAACCTCCCTGAGCCGCGGCGTTCCGCGCGCTCGCCAGCAGCTCCAGCCTCGAGGGCTTTGAAATCCCACTTTGCCCCGACATGCGTGATCCAGCCTCAGTTTCCTCGTCTGTCAGTTTGGACTCTGTAAGCTAATTTCCGGACCCTACACGTTCCGTCCCTAATTGTTGGCTCCCTTGCCTTCCCGGAGCTACTCTGTGGTTGGGACAGCCTCATTTGACTGTTAATAGAAGTTCTTTCCATTTTCTTCACGGTGCATTGGTAGATCTGGGGTTTCAGATTTTGTGGACAGCGATCAAAAAGAAACCTTTTGCACTGGGATATTAGTGCACACTACCTAAAACGTAAAAATGAACCAGGATACTGGAGAGTTGGTGTCGTGTTTGAGAACACTACTAGCTCTTCCAGAAGAACCGCGTTCGGTTTGCACAACCACCTGTAACCCCAGCTCTAGAAGATCAGACGCCCTCTTCTGACCACCGAGGTTATCAGCACACACGTCGCATATATCCTCTCTCCCTCTCTGTACACACACACACACACACACACACACAGAGTACAAAAAAAAAAAAGGTTTTTTAAGTGAACCAAATGTTTCAGTGGTGTAGGGCACAGTGGTGCATGCCTTTAATCCCAGCGCTTGAGAGGCTGAAGTAGGAGGATCTTTGAGTTCAATCCAACCACGTGTTCAGTTCCAGGCCAGCCGGGGTTACATAGTGAGCCCCCTGTCTCGGAAGGGCGGGATGAGGGTTGGGGGGAGAAGCAGTAGTTTCTTTTACTATAAACAATATATTGTAACGTTATGATAAAACAACACCCAAACAAAACAAACCCGCTTGTCACAACCCGCTCCATAGAAAAGCAGCCCAGCAGTGTCCTGCTTTGGCTTGAATTATAGTTGTGCTTTCTGACAGATTGATAGGACGCTAGTCACAGCTAGTCAGACTGTGCGTGCGTCTGTACCGAGCGACAGGGGAGATGTACGTTCCTGTCTCAGTTGAAAGAGTGTAAGAACACCGCACTGGCGCACCCTAGATTTGGCTAACCCTTCTTGGGAATGGGAACTTTAGGCAGATACATTGCTTTCCTCCCTCTCTAGGCCGCCACTAGCCCTCTACCCTGAATCCCTTGGGCTTCTTCTGTGTCTCCGTCACCCCTGACATCCTTCCGTGCCGGTAGGTGTCTGAAGCAGAGGTGGGTGAGGTCATTGTGACTCACAGCTTTAACCTTTGGGACTGTGCTTCCACTCCCTGGAGCGTTTGCTGAGTCCCCTTGTCCAAGGAATCCCTACTCCCTTGTTTCTTTTTTCTTTATTTTATTTTTTCGAGACAGTTTCCCTGTGTATCTTTGCGCTGTAATCCAGGCTGGCCTCGAACTCACAGAGGTCCACTTGCCTCTGCCTCCCAGGTGCTGGGCTTAAGGCATCCCCACCACACCCAGCTGTACTTGTTTTATAGCCTTTGTCCACCATCACTAGCTCACACACACTCTTCTAAGGCAGTGCTTCTCAACCTTCCTGATGCTTCAGCCCTTAAATGCAGTTCCTCATGTTGTGACCCCAACTATAAAATTGTTTTCTTAATTATTTATTTTATTTTGTGTACATTGGTATTTTGGCTGCAGATCTGTCTGTATGAGGGCATCGGATCCCCTGGAACAGTTGTGAGTGAGCTGCCATGTGGGTGCTGGGAATTGAATCTGGATCCTCTAGAGGAACGTCCAGCACTCTTAGCCACTGAACCATCTCTCTCGCCCCTGCTCCCAATAAATTATTTTTGCTGCTTCTTCATAACTGTAATTTTGCTACTGTTATAAATCATAATGTAAATATCTGTGTTTTAGGTGGTCTTAGGTGACCCCTCTGAAAGAGTTGTTCGACCTTCCAAGGGATCGAGATCCACAGTTGAGAGCTGGTGCACTAAGGTCTTTAAATGTCAGACTAATCTAGAACAGGGGAATCTTTTTTCCTGTGTGATCAGATTCTCTTCTTCCCCACCCACCTCCGAAACAGAGGTTTTCTGTGTAACCGCCCTGCTGTCCTGGGACTCTGTAGACCAGAACGGCCTTGAATTCACAGTGATCCCACCAGGTTCTGCCTCCCAAGTGCTGCCCAGCCTGTGAACAGTCTTTCTAATGCCAACTTTGTGCACAGCACTGTATGTTGCTATGCTTTGTTGGGTCGCCAATGCCTCTTGTAATAAATATAGTGATGCTTTGGTGAGAAAACATCGCAATACAGAAAAACTTCTACTTAAATAGTGGAACAAATGTCTGGCCTGTGCCATATTACAGTTTCCTGATTCATGTGCCCCTTTTTCCTTCCTTGTGTCTTTTTAAGGGTCGTTCTGAGGTTTTTCTTAGGTTTAGTGAAAACACGACTCTGTATGGCTAGACAGCATGTCTGGATCTGTTTACTACTCAATGTGAAGCATCCTTTACCAGGCTATTGGGCAGCTTTACTGACCTTTTTTTCTGACCCCCCCCCCCATCCTTGCTTCTTTAAAGCAGGAGAGAAATGTATAGCACTTCTTGGTACAGTTTACCCATTCCCACTTGTAAGTTTATCTCATGTTTCCAGAATACCTCTTCTGCTCTGGGAGTCTGTCTATTCTTCTTGCCATTTTGTGAGCCCTTCCACGCCACCCTCAACACTACCTATGTGGAAGTGTTTGGGACAGATCCTGGATTGAATGAGAGGTTTCTCTGTGGCCAGTATGATCTCACCAGTTCTTCACTGTTTCTGTGCTATCTGCTGCCTTGCCCTGTCAGTGTGCAATGTATGAATGAGGACAAGTCATGAGTGCTACGTGTCCTAAGTCAGAGTTCTGCCTTGCAGTGTCTGTGGCCTCGGGCAAGTTACTGTGCTTTCTCATCCGGAATGTGACGATTAAATGAGTTAATGGGGCTAGAGAGATGGTTCAGCTGTTAAGAGGACTTGGTGCTCCTCCAGAGGACCAAGTTTGGTTCTTAGCACCTACGCACCTGGTTGCTCAGGTCACACAGAACTTCCTGTAACTCCAGCTCCAGGGGATCTGATATCTTCTGCCTCAGGACACCCACACACTCATGGTTGAGACTCACAGAGATCCCTACACGTACACATTTAAAACAGAATAAAGAAGTTAACACGTGAAAAGTGCTTAGATGAGTGTGTGGCACATACTAAGTCTACAAGGTTTGCAGTTTACCCATTGGAGTCTGTGTCAGATAGTCGTAGCTCTAAAAGCAATAATAAGGTATCATTTTAACCGCTGTAGGCATGCTATTGCTTTACTTTACCAACTTAGTTTCCCTAGCAGCTCTGATGAGGGATTATGTTCTCCATTACATATAAGAAATCTGGGGCTAAGTAACATTAAAACATGATAAAGCAGGGATATGATAGTGCTTGCCTGTAATTATATCACTTAGAATATTGAGGCAGGAGGATTTTAAGTTTGAAGCCAGCCTGGGCTATATAGTGAATTGAAGACAGCCTGGGCTACATATTGAAGCCTTTTCTCATATGACAGAAGATAGATAATTTAAAACAAACAATAAATGGTAGGCAGGGACTTAAATTTATGCCTTACAGACTGTTGATTGCTACTGTGACTTTGTTACTGACTAGTTTTGTGTCATTGGGTAGTTTCTCTTTTTTTATTTTTTGAGACAGGGTCTTACTATGTAGCTGTGGCTGACCTGAAACTCATTTATGTAGACTAGGCTAGCCTCAAGCTTACAAACATCTGCCTACCTCCTCCTCCTGAGTGCCGGGACTAACAGTGTGCACCACCATTCCCCTGCCCTGGCAGATGATTTCTTTAGGCTTCAGGAACTGAGCTGACTGTATTTGGAATCACCTTGTGGGGTGAGTGAGTAGGCTGAAGTTAAAGTAAGTAAGGTTAGATTTTAAGGCTTGGAAATTTTAGAAGATGTTGTAGGAGTTACATGTACAATCCCAAACTGTGTTCCAGGGGAAGAGACGGAGACTAGCGCACTCCGTATGCTAATATTATCTGGATGGGATCTTTTAGGTGAAATAAACATTGTTGTCCTTCATTATAGATGTAGAAACTGAGGCTAAGGTGGTCAGGTGATAACCCTAAGCTCATTCAGATTTTAATCCCATTTTAGGCTGATTTCAAAGCCTATTTGCTTGCTATGATGCAATGTTGCTTTAGTGTTTTGAAAGACCACATGGAACTTCCTGACCAACATCTCATCCCTAAACCCGACCTTCATTTTTTATTGAGACAAAGTCTCACTGTGGAACCTGGGCTGGTCTCAAACTTTTGATCCTATTGCCTAGGCCTTTTCAGTTCTGGGATTAGAGGCATGTACCCACATGCTCTGCCCTCTTCCAAGGTTTTAGTTTTGGTTGTAGGGGCTCATGTAGCTAGCTCAGGCCCTTCTTGAGAGGAGATTACCAGTGTATACTACCATGCCTGGCTTTGGCTTTTCTAAGATTTTTATCCTCTTTATTTTTTTTTTTTTGTTTTTGTTTTTTTTTTGTTTTGGTTTTGTTTTTTCGAGACAGGGTTTCTCTGTGGTTTTGGAGCCTGTCCTGGAACTAGCTCTGTAGACCAGGCTGGTCTCGAACTCACAGAGATCCGCCTGCCTCTGCCTCCCGAGTGCTGGGATTAAAGGCGTGCGCCACCACAGCCCGGCCTTTTCTAAGATTTTTAGATAAAAGTGTATTCGTGGTACAAGATGGCCTAGGCCATCAGTGGACATCAGTGTGCCCACTAGACATGGGATACTAATTGTCATCTTTAAGGACTGAGAGCCTGACACTTTCACAAGAGACTGATCTCATTAAGCCTGCTTTATACAACATCCTTAAGAAAATATTTTTTAGATGTGCCTTTTCGAGGCATGGGGTTCCTAAGTGGCATTAATTTCTTACTGGATATCTATTTCTTGTTCCCTAGGCACTTTTAAATTCAGTACAGATGCTGCTGAGTTCATTCCTCAGGAGAGAAGAAATTCTGGTCTGAACTGTGGGACCCAAAGAAGACTAGACTCTAGGATTGGGAGAAGAAATTACAGTTTCTCACCTCCCTGTCACCTTCCCAGGCAGAATCCTTACGATGACATCTCTGCTATTCATCAGCACAATTACGCCTCTGGAAGCAAACCCAAGAGTCACCAGGTGTTTTTCCAGTCTAATAAATCACTCAAGAACCATGGCCTTCACAATCAGCCATGGCAGAAGTTGAGGAATGAAAAACACCAAAGCAGAGTCAAGAAAGCACAAGGGCTCACTGACCAGACGTCAGATGCGTCCAGTTTAGAAAGTGTGACCAGGTCAGAGAGTGGAACAGACCTTAGGGAGCATAGCCCTTCTGAGAGTGAGAAAGATGTGGTTATTGCAGATCCTAGGGGAGCAAAGCCCAAAAAGGCAGCACAGCTTACATACAACTATGGCAGAGGGCCAAAGGCCAAAGGGAAGCCCAAATGCGAGCTGGGTAGTAGAATGAGCCCAAAGTCTGAGGATGAAAACACCAGACCTGTGGGGGCTTCCCAGACTGACTTTTCAGATGGGTCCTGTAGAAAGGCTGTAGTGGATAGCTGCATGTCGAGGCGGAATGAGCAGAGAAGATACCCACAGAAAAGGCCTCCGTGGGAGGTGGAGGGTGCCAGACCACGACCAGGCAGGAACCCACCCAAACAGGAAAGTCAGCGACATTTAAATTCAGGGCCTAAAAACAACATGCCCCCCATTCCAAAGGATAATCTCAGAGAAAGACCATCAAAGTCAGCCTGTGACACCGGGAATTTGGCCGTTGTCAACAAGTCTTCCAGAAGGGTTGACCAAGAGAAGAATGCAGGAAGGAGACAGGACCCTCAAGTGCTCTCTCCTTTCCCCAGAGGCAAACAGAGCCATGTGCTGAAGAATGTGGAAACACATACAGGTCAGTGTGCCTGGAGGGGAGGGAAGATTGCTTGAGGGTAGTTTTCAAGCACTACACTCATAATTTAGAAACCGTAAAATAAAAAAAACGGTAGTGGTGAAGCCTATCTTAATTCATCACCTGCTTGGATCCTGCCAGTACCCATTGCTGTGCTCATTGGTAACCTCTTTTGTTTGTTTGTCTTTGAGACAAGATCGTAAGCTCTCTACCACTGAGTTATAACCCCAAATCTTTATTACTTGAGACAGTCTTAAATTACCCTGGGTGTCCTTAAATTTACTCTATAATCCAGGCAGGGCTTGAACTAATGCTCTTCCTGCCTCAGCTTCCTGAATAGCTGGTATTACAAACCTGGACCACCAGGCCCAGCACTCTTTCGGTTTACTGATTTTCCTCCAATAAATTATTGTGTAAGGGCTTTAAATGTAGCTAACGATGCTAAAGCTCTCTGGGTTTCAGATTCTTTTTGAGTTACGGTAGCAGAAGCAGGACATGGTAACATTTCGTTGCCCCTGTTGATTACAGCTGATGCAGCTCTCCTCATCTTGTTGGTTCCACTGCAGTGGTTCTGTCTCCTGTCTTAACTCTTTTTTTCAGCTCATCTTTGCTCCTTCAGCAGTGAACAGTTTTTCCAAAACACATCCTGAACTCATCACTCGTCTGTCTTGGGTTTCGTCACTGTAGGTTCTGACTTCTGTCTTCTGTGCCGTACCCTGTCATTTTCCTCCAGATTCCTTCCTGCTCTGTCTGTCCAAGCTGTTGGATGCAGTTCCCTCTGTCTAGAGTCACTACCCCCTTAGCTCACTGCTACACCTTTTTGTTGTTCATTTGATTTACTTTTTGTTCGTTTTTTTCACTTTTCATTTTTTATGTGTATGGCTGTTTCACCTGTATGTATATCTGTGTACTGTGTGTGTGCCTGGTGCCCATGAAGGCCAGAAGAGGTTGTCAGACCTCCTAGAACTGAAGTTACAGCTGATTGTAAGCCACCAATTCTGGGAATCAAACCCAAGACCTCTGGAAGAAGCAGCCTGTGGTCTTAAGCACTGAGCTAGCCCTCCAGCCCCTAACCCTGGCTAGCCTGGAACTTGTTATGTAAACTAGGCTGCTCACAGAAATCTGCCTGCCTCCTGAGTGCTGGGATTAAAGATTTATTTTGTGTATGCACCTGAGTGTATTTATATGCATCACTGTGTGTACCAAGAAGCCCTCCGAGGCCAGAAGAAGGGCATTAGATCCCCTGAAACTTCAGTTACAGGTGGTCATGAGCTACCACAGGGGTGCTGGGAACTGAACTCAGGTCCTCAGCAAGATTGGCATACCACTGAGCCATCTTTTCAACAGTAAAGTCCTTTAGACAGGAGCTCACTGCTTCCCTGGCTGGTTTGGACACCCCTATATAAACTCCCAGAGTCCCTCTGCCTTTCCAAGCACTAGGATTGAAGGTTTGTGCTGCAGTTCCACTTGTGAATGTAGATGTTTCAAAAGCTAGTTTAGTTACATATCCAGGGAGCCTTTTCTTACCCCTATAGTATTGTCTCTTCCAGGCTTTTACAATCTTGTCTTTTTTATCACTATACATACTTCTGTTTCCAAATTTATTACTCGAAACCATAATTTGAGCCCTTAATCTCAGCACTTGGGAGGCAGAGGCAGACAGATCTCTTAGTTTGAAGCTAGCCTGGCCTACAGTGAGTTTCAGAACAGCTAGAACTACACAAGAGAAATCCTATCTCAACCCATCCCCACCCCCCAAGAATGAAAGAAACCATAATTTATCTCCATGACAGTGTTTGGAGTCACTATTTATAAAAAAGAAGTCTTTCCTTTTTTTTGAGTCTCCCTATGTAGTAGCCCTGGCCTCTGGATTCTGGAATTAAAGGAATGCACCATCACCACCTCACAAATATATGTTGGTTTCTTTGTTTTTAGATATAGGTGTCCCCTGTGTAGCCCTAGCCTGGAACTTGTTATAGATAGGCTGACCTTAAACTAACAAAAATCTTTCTCAGCCTCCTAGTGCTGGGATTCCAGGCATGGGCCACTGTCCTTGGCCTAGATACCGTATCTTTCTTTTTCCTTGTGGTGTTCTTGCCTCACACAGCTCTTAGAACATAGTTGAGAGTTGGTTCTGACTCGTCCACAGAACTTGTGTTGACCTAAATACTCTCCTGTAAGGATGTTCTGAAGCATGTGTTCTCTCTCTTCACAATTACCATCCTGCCCCCTTCTTTACAAATAAACCTTTTACACTATTTGAAGACATTCCTCATTTTGCACTGAGTGTGTTATTACATCAAGGCAAAGAGCTAGGTATGGCAGCGAGCATGCCTTTAATACTAGCACTGGAGAAGACTGAGTTTGAGAACAGACTGCTACTTAGCAAGACTCTCTGTGTATTGGGCGTGTGGATAACTTCAGTATGTAAGCTCTTCCTCATGAACTTTTACCTTTATTGATCTCCTTTTGGTTTATTGTGAGCCTTTGACCTAATCATTGATGCTACCACCTGCCCAGGGCCTGTTTTTTCACTGAGCTCCCCGCACCTCACTCCCACAGTGTTTCTCTGTGTAGCCCAAGCTGTCCTTGAACTCAGATCCACCTGTCTTGCCAGGTGGTGACGGACAGTGGCCACACACCTTTAATCCCAGCACTTGGGAGGAAGAACCAGGCCAGCCAGAGCTGTTATATAGAAAAACCCTGTCTCAAACAACAAAAAAAGAGCTGGGGGTGGAGGTGTACACCTTTAATCTCAGCACTGGAGGCCGAAGCTCCCAAGTGTTGGGATTAAAGGCATGCATCATCACCTGGCTAGTTTTCTGTTTTTTTAAAACACAGGTATTTTATGTTACTTGGGTTGTCTTTAAACTTTCTGTGTAACCTAGCCTGGCCTTGAACTCCTGCTTCAGTCTTAGTGCTAGATTACAGGTATGTGCCACCAGGCCAAGTGTTAGCCTGTGTCTTTGTTGTTTGTGTGCTGCTTGTTTTTTTTTTTTTTTTTTTTTTTTTTTTTTTTTTTTTTTTTTTTTTTTGTCAGCTTGAAGCAAACTAGCATTATCTGGAAGTGGAAATTTCAATTGAGAAAATGCCTCCATCAGATTGAACTGTAGGCAAGTCCATAGAGGCATTTTCTTGATTAATAATTGATGTGGGAGGCCCACCCCATTGTGGACAATTGCCACCTCTGGGCAGGTAGTTCAGGGAGATATAAGAAAGATAGCTGAGGTCTAGAGAGATGGCTCAGCAGTTAGGAGCACTGGTTACTCTTCCAGTGGGTCCAGGTTCAATTCCCAGCAACCATATGACAACTCACAACTGTTTGTAATTCCAGTTCAAAGGGATCCAACACCCCTATACCCCTATACAGACGTACATGAAGGCAAAAAATGCCAATGCACATGAAATAAAAATAAATTTAAAAAGAGAGCTAACTAAAGGTGAGTGTGAAGACAAGCTAGTGAGCAGTGGTACTCCATGGCTTCATTCCTGTCGTGTGTGCCTGCCCTAGCTTCCTCCACAGTAGACTAAGCTTCAGCTAAAATAAATCCTTTCCTCCCCAAGTTGCTTATGATAACAGTGTTTTATCACAGCAGTAAAAAGCAAGCTAGGATAATTTGTTTCTGATTTTATTTTTTAAACTCAAAGATAATTTTTATTGAAGTTTAAAACAAAAACCCCCAGGAAAGCAAGCTGTAAATTTTAACAGCTGCCTATAGAGAAGAATGGAGAAAAGAATGGGTAGGGGAGGGTGCCCTGAGTCAGTCTGTGTGGAGGTCAGCCCTGTGTCAGCCGCAGAGCAGAGCTGAGCCGCAGAGCAAGCAAAGCTCGAAGTGCGAGGGAAAGCTTAGAACACGGACTTGTTTGTTTTTTGAATTAGTTATTTGGTGAGTGGACCTTAGTGTAATGGTCTGAGACTTGGTGGGGAGTTGGGGGTTTGTTGGTGTATCTGAAAAGTTTGAAGTCAGTTAGCACCCAGTCAGGTAGGTCTGTGTTCTCCAGGTTATTCCAGTGCTCTGTGTCCTTTCACTGACACATTGTTCAACTAGAATCACAGCAGACACAGTCACAAGTCACGGGTCAGAAATGATGTGAGGCCCTGGTGCAAAAGGGCTTCTGGGAAATGAAAAAGAGCCGTGGTCAGACAGGACTTGGCAGCTACCACGGACAAGTCTTGGCACTGAGACCTGATAGTTCACCAGCACAGAGCAGCTCTAGAATTTCACTACTACCGTATTTTACACATTAGACATGCTTTCATAAAACCTAAGAGGAAGGTATTGTTGCCAACGAGAGATTTATATTTCTCTCTCTAAGATCTCTTTGGAGCCATTCATTTTTTTTATTGTGGGTGCCCAGTATTTTCAAGGTACCACTCTAATAAAAATCTTGGTTCCCAAGGAGAGTATATTCTGTGTGTATAGTTAGATAATGAGCAATATGTATAATACGTGGTTTATCATGAGACAGGGTCTGACTGTGGCCTAGGTGAGCCTCTGAGTCTTTATCCTCCTATCTCAGCCTGGAGTGCTGAGATTACAGGACTGTACCATGATGCCTGACATTGTCAGGTAGCTGTAAATATTGAGGGAAAATTCAGTGTGCAAGAAGAATAGATTGTGTTCAGGGGGTGAATTGTAACTTTTCTAAGTGTGCTGAGGACTGCGAATGAGAAGTCACATTTTGAGTAAATACCGGAGTGGATGAGGAGCTGAGCCACACAGCTGTCTAGGGCAAGTCTTCTGGGCACAGGACGGAGCATACAGCCCCCAGGCAGGAGGAAAGAAGATGAGCAGTGGGACTGGGGGGAGGAGGAGAGGCCACTGTGAGGATCTGGGCTTTGACAGTCACCAAATAAGAGCTATTGAAAAGGGCTAGGGAGATGGTTAGCATTTAAAAAGAGCACTAGCTGCTTTTGTAGGAGACTCAGATTCAGTTCTAACACACATAACACACACATGTCAACTCACAACAGTCTGTAACTCCAGTTCCAGAGGATCTGACACTTCTGGCGTCTGAGGGCACCAGGCACCCACACATACATATAAAATTTTTGTTTTGTTTTAACTGGTAAGCTCTGACCAGAAGAGTACACCTAAGAGCACCCACCTCTGTACCAAAACTGGGGATTGAACCCAGGGCCTCTTGGTGTCAAGCAAGCACTCTTATTACTGAGTTGTATGCCTACCTTCTTTTCCTTTTTATTTTGAGACAGTGTCTCACTAAGTTGCCTAGGCTAGTTTGCCATTATTCTGTATCAGGAAGGTCATAAACTTGTGATCCTCTTGCTCGAGCCTGCCTAGTAGCTGGGATTGCTGGCTTACAGCCTCTGGGCCAAATTTAATTTACAGTTTGCTGTTCTTATTGCTGGGGTCTAAAGGAAACAGAAAGCAGTTTAGACCAGAGTGGGAGAAACAGATATTAGATTCTAGATGTAGTCTGCAAATTGCTGACATAAGACCCTGTCTCAAACTCTAAATAAATAAGCAAATAAAATGACAACTGCAAGGTAAACCGATGATTACTCTTAGGTTTATTCAGTGCTTACTATTCTTTATTATTTGTGGGGTTTTGAAACAAGTTTTTTTTTTAATTTTATTGATTTTTTTTTTTTTTTTTTGAGCTCTACGTTTTTCTCTCCCCTCAACCCTCTCCCAAGGTCCCCATGCTCTCAATTTACTCTGTCTCAGGGTCCTCATTGTTGTCTAAGTTCTCTGGGATTGTGGTTTGTAGGCTGGCTTTCTTTGCTTTATGTTTAAAAACCACTTATGAGTGAGTACATGGAATAATTGTCTTTCTGGGTCTGGGTTACCTCACTCAAAATGATTAAAACAAGGTTTTATTATATAGTCCAGGCTGATCTTGAAATCTCGTGCTCCAGTGAGACTCCTGAACCCTAGGACCACAGGCCTGAGCTATATAGCTCTGAATAATCTGGGTGGACTTGGGAGAATGTTTACTCCATTATAGGAATCCCTACCTAAATGTCTGCTTTCTTAGTCCTGTCTCAGCAACTTCTGCCCATTCTCAGCCTCTAAGTCTGAATAACCATTTATTCAGAATCAGGTATCCTTTTAAGTCTGTTAGAATATATTGTCAAATGGCTTATTTCTCTGTTGACTAAAGTAAGGAATGGTTTTCTATGTTTCAGTTTGTTTATTTGTTTTTTTAACAGGTTCCCTAATTGAGCAGCTAACTACAGAAAAATATGAATGTATGGTGTGCTGTGAATTGGTTCAAGTTACAGCCCCAGTGTGGAGCTGTCAGAGCTGTTTTCACGTCTTTCATTTGAACTGCATCAAGAAGTGGGCCCGGTCTCCAGCATCTCATGCAGGTCAGTCATTTGTGTTTCCCGAGTTGTTTCTGTGCACTGCTTTAATAAATTTGGGTTATAAACCTGGCTTTAAAATGCTAGCCAGGAGGTGGTGGTGCACTCCTTTAATCCCGGCAGACAGATGCAGGTGGGTCTTTGTGAGTTCAAGGCCAGCCTGGTCTACAAAGCAGGTTTCAGGATAGCCAGAGCTACATGAGACTCTATCTCTAAGAAAAAAAAAATCCTCTTAAGCATTTATCTATAGGTAGAATGTTACTTTATTCTCTTGTTTTATGATGGGACTTAAGTTGTAGATCTTAAATAAACCAGCTAAACATAACTACGAAAATATTTAGCCGTGAAATCAATAATTTTTTAATTGGAAATGGTAGGTTTCATTGAAATGCAACTATAAAAAGTGTTTTTTGGACTAATGAAATGGCATAAAGTGGAAGGGTACTTTGTATCAAATATATATTTCATAGGAGAGAGACAACTCCTGAAAGTTGTCCTCTGATCCCCAACATGTGTTATAGCTCTCCAGAGCACACACACAAAAGTAAATGTAATACCAAAATGATTTGAGAAAGCATTCATTACCAAGTGTAGTGGCTCACACTTTAATCCCAGAAGTTGGAAGGCAAAGGTGGAAGTATTTCTGTGAGTTTGAAGCCAGCCTGCTCCACATAGCAGGTTTCAGGCTAGCCAGAGCTACACAGTAAGACCCTGCTCCCCCCAAAAAACCCGTGTGTGTGTGTGTGTAGTTTGCTTAGACATTTATATAAATTGTTTAATTTATCCTTCAGATATTAGGTTATTTCTGCATATCACAAATTTCTGTAGTATTATAGGTAATGCAGATCTTGCTGATAATATGCTCCCTGTCTTGTGGCTTTTTAATTCAGGACATAAGGATTTTCCTGTATACCCAATAGTTTTTCTCTTCAAGTTAATATTGAAAGTAGAGGTGATGAGCAACGTGGATACCTACTTGATTCACTGTGTTAGTAGGTCTTTGTAGCCTGAATACAGTATTTAATGAAGCATTCAACAATGTGATTTATTTGCCTTTTTTTTTTTTTTTGAGAACTTTATTCAGGAGTAAAGCAATAGGACGAAATTAATAAATTAAAAGTTAGAGGGAGCACCTCAGGGTGAGAGTTACTTAAGAGCCTAGATCTGTTTCTTAAATGTCTGATAATATTCAGCATTTTAATTCTAACTGCTTCAATGATGTGAATTCCTATAGATTTACTTTTTTTCTTTGTGAAACAGGGTCTCCCTAGACCTTGAACTCAGAGAGAACCTGCCTCTTGCCTTCCAAGTGCTGGGATTAAGAGGATATGTCACTATACTTGGCCAGAAGTTTAAAATTACAGTACTGCTTTTTCAGGAGGGTGCAGAGGGGCAAGCCCTAGAGACCTGGATAGACCAAGCACACTCCCTACTGCTGAGCTATATCCCTAACTCAGCATGTGCTGTGGAAAGACATCTTATTGATAGATTCTTTTCTTTCTTTCTTTTTAAACAGATGGCCAGAGTGGTTGGAGATGCCCTGCTTGTCAGAATGTTTCCGCACATGTTCCTAATGCTTATACTTGTTTCTGTGGTAAGTTTATTTACATACACTGGAGCACTTTTTATTCCTACGTTGTACCTCAGTGATCTGCAGGGCTCGCTTCAGAAGTGCCTGATAGACCTCAAAGTAAGAGGCTCTACTATTGAACTCATGCTTCCATCACCAGGTGGAGCCCTGGGCCGTGGTGCTCCTGGCAGGCTCTTCTGGAGGTGGGTCTTCTGATTATGCCAGCCAGGCTCATGCTGGTTCTAAGCAATCAGTTGAGGCAGATATTGATGTGTGTTCCCCTCAGTGCTAGCTGTAATACCTTTTATTACCTTTATTAATTTTAGATTTAAGCCATGTACAAAAGATAGTGTTTAATTTAAGACATCAATCGTTTGTCTGTATAGTGGAGAGATTTTTCTATAAATTGGCAGTACAAATTAACCTTGAATCTTCTCTCTCTATAGAATAGTTTTTTCCTTGTTTTGCCTGTTTGTTTTTTTTTTAATTTAAATAGTTTTTTTAATTGATTCTTTGGGAATTTTACATCATGTACCCTAATTCCACTGACCTCCTGGTCTCTCATCCTCCCCTCACCCCTACAGCACTCCCCCAAAAACAAAATAAAAAAAAAAACAAAGCAAGCAAACAAACAAGAACAAACCAAACCAAAAAGAACCTCTTCATTTCTCCGTCTTTCCCGCCTGTGCAACACCTCTCCATTCGTCCTGCTGGCACTGGGAGTGGCGTGTCACACAGTACACACTTTGTCCCATCAGCTTCACTAGCAGATGTTCTTTGTAATGAGTCCCTGCTCTGGTTTCTGGTACACCATCATCATTGGATCCTCACCTAAACTCTCCTAAGGTAGTCCACAGGCTCCCTAAGTCATGAAGATCCTGCTGATATTGTTCCACAGGACCAGCCTCTCACGAGTTCCAGCAGATCCTAGATGGGTTTGATGTTAGAGTAGGCCAACCCAAGACCCTGGTATGGGCCTAGGGGTAACTGAGCTGGTCATTCCAGGCCACTGGAGCCACTAGCCTCAGGTGAGAGGATGGAGCCATTTCCCCTATGCCCATGCCATCAGGGTCATGGTTCTCCCTCACCTGTGGTGAAGGGTGGGGACCATCTCTCCCAATGCAGGGGTCAACTCTCTTGTTGCAATGTCCAGCAAGAGGCAAGGCTAGCTTTTCCAGAGCTAGTGAAGGGTTCCTATGGCCCCTGAGGTGGCACAGGCCACAGACATCTACACAACCCAGCTTTGGTGGTAGCATGGTCCCCAGACATCACCAAGGCCTCAAGTTGCCTCCCCAACCTGGGCTTTAGTATGACCTTTGGTGGCAATACAGAACTTGGACTTCAGCACAGATCTGTCTCAGTAGGACCATGGACTCAGAAAGGGTGCTCAGCAACATCTGGGTCTGGATGTCACCATTGCCTCAGGTGGCAGTACATGCCATTCAGATCAGCACAGCCCCAGAGGTAGTGTGACCCTTGGACACCAACTTGGCCCCAGACCTTGGGTGTCCACATTGTGTTTGATGGTAACAAGAGCCTCAGACAACACAGACCCTGGCTGCAGTTGGGCCACAGACTCAGACATGGCCCTGAACTGCAGCTCAGGCCCCAATGTCACAATGGCATCAGGTAGCAGCACAGGCAGGCCACTCAGATCTGCATGGCCCTGGCTGCAGCATGACCCTTGGACACTATCATGGAGTCAGGTGGCTGACCCAACCCTGGGCGTCCACCCAGACCCTGACCACTATGGGGCCACAGACCCTGACATGGCCCTCAAAATAGCAACCTGGACTGAGGTGACACCAAGTTTTTCCTGGTTTTTTTGTTGTTGTTGTTGTTGTTGTTGTTGTTGTTGTTGTTGTTGTTGTTGATTTGAGATGATCTGTGTAGCCCTAGCTGTCCTGGAACATACTATGTAGACCAGGCCAGACTTGAACTCACAGAGGTCCACCTGCCTTTGTCTTCCTGGTGCTGAGATTAGAGACACGTGCCACACTCTCCAGCTCCCTTTTCCTGTTTTTTAATAGCTACACCTTTTTGTTTTTTGTTTTGATCCGGATGCTAATTTCTACTGCTAGCTGTATGTCTTTTCTGTCCTTTCTCTACCCACCCTCTCAGCCTCGCCCACAGTGCCAGAACATGTTAAAGAAGTGTCCTGCCACTGAGCTGTACTCCAGTTCTCTCCCTTTATTTCCTTCTGATCATTACCGCAGATAATTCTTTGTTCATTTATTTAAGATTTCTTAGTTAATAGATTTTGTTCAGTAGTCAAAATGGCATTTTCATAGGTAAAAATGACTGTCTTTTTCAGGTAATCTTGATGTTAGGATTTATCATGCTAAGTAGAGTGTTTAATAAGTAGCATCGCAGTCAGCTTTTTGTTTTAGCGTGTGAGATAACAGTTGTACTGCTGAAAACCACGTTTAAGTTTCACACTGTCTCTGTTTGACGCTGTACTCTGTTTCGAAAAGTTGAGAATATGGTTGAAATTTACAGCATTGACTTTCTCATCTGATGTGTTGTAGGTAAAGTAAAGAATCCTGAATGGAGCAGAAATGAAATTCCACATAGTTGTGGTGAGGTTTGTAGGAAGAAACAGCCTGGCCAGGACTGTCCACATTCCTGTAACCTGTAAGTTGGAGTGATGGATTTCTGGGGACTCAGTGGGTGTGCTTTGCTAGTGCCTTTAAGTACACATACCATTATCACGGAACAAGAGGGGTAAAGAGTGCCTTTGTAGTGAGCACTCTGCACAAGTTATTAATCCTTTCCATGGCCATGTGTAGGTATGATCATTTCTACTTTATAGACGAAACTCAGGAAGGCTAAGCCTCGTGCCCAGTGTTGCAGTGCTAAGAAGTGATAGGGCTGGGTATGAAAAGCCAGTGATCCTTCCACCGTTTTGTACTGCTAGCCCTAAAAAGAAGAGAGCCTTGGATATCTATAGGGAAAGCACTTGTTTAACATCCTGTATGGTAGGACTTTGAGGTTGGGAGGGGTGCTTGTTTTTCTTTTTCACAAAATTGTGTTGCCCATATGATTAATTAGACTTTCCTGTAATTGCTTTTAATTTCCGAAGGATTGCATTTGCCATCATTTAGAATGCCCCTCCCCAGAATACAAATTGCAGACCCTTGTTATCACATGGTTCTCTGGAAGAGCAGCAAGCACTCTTAACTACCCCACCAACTCTTCAGACGCCTATAGATTTTAGGATTTTGTTGTTCTTTAACAGCCCTGGCTGTCCTGGAACTAACTTTGTAGACCAGGCTGGCCTCTGCCTCCCAAGGGCTGGGATTAAAGGCATGTTCCACCAAACCCAGCTTGTAGGAGAAGGGGACCAGCTGGATTGGGAAGAAAGGACAAGAACAGACAGTGGGGCGAGGGTGAACATCATCAAAAATATATGATATGCATGTATGGGCTTTATTATTTGTGCTTGTGCATGCGTGTATATGCAGGCCCCAGGCCCACATGGAAGTGAGGGGAGTTTTGTGCTGTCGTTCCTCCTTTCCATGGCCTCTGGGGATGAAAGTCAGCAGCTCACAGGCTCAGAGAGCAAGCGCCTTTACTTGCTGAGTACCTCCACTGCCCTGTTTTGTTACTTTGTTTTGTGTTTTGAGACAAGATCTGATGCTATAGCCCTAGCGGCCCTCATCCAATCTGTTATTCTCATGCCTCACCTTCCCATGTGCTGGCATTACAAGTGTGAGCCAGCACTGTGCCCAGGAGAGAAACCACTATTTTGAATGATATATATTCATTTTTTAAAAAAGTCCTCTCCCCAATTTGTAGAAATTCCCAAAATAGGATTAAAGAGAGGTGGCTTGGGTCAAGGTGCTTGCTGCAAAGACTGAGACCTGGGTTTGAGCTCAGAGGTCTTACATGGTAAAGAAGAAGACTGACTCCAACAGCTTGTCTTCAGACCTGCACATGGCATGGTGGACCATGTACACACAAACATACAAAATAGAAGTGGAGTTTCTTACCCAGTCTATGATTGACACTGGTTCTACACGAAGACAGTATTTATCAAAACATATTTAAATTCCTTTTTTTCTTCTTCTGACTTCCACAACATTTTGTTCAGATGTCTGATTCTAGCCTAGAGCACATCACTAAGCTCAGTTTCCCTTGCCCTCCCGCCCTGTGCTGGGATTCTGTTTCCTACCTGCGTGCTGTGCGCGTGTAAGCCACCTTCCCACTGGTACTGCTGTCACCAGCTGATGGGGTGTGTCTGTTCCTCTCGTGGAGTAAGCGCATGTGGGCACTGTAGCTCCATTCCTTCTTTCCTTCCTCCTCCCGAGAATCCAATCCAGGGTCTCCAATACTAGGAAAGGGTAAAAAAAGGGGGGAGGGCTGGAGAGATGGCTCAGAGGTTGAGAGCACTGACTGCTCTTCCACAGGTCCTGAGTTCAATTCTCAGCAACCACATGGTGGCTCACAGCCATCTGTAATGAGATCTGGTGCCCTCTTCTGGCCAGCCAGCATACAGACAGAACACTGCATACGTAATAAACAAACAAATAAATAAATAAAGAGGGAAGGGCTGGAGAGATGGCTCAGATGTTAAGAGCATTGGCTGCTCTTCCAGAGATCTTGAGTTCAATTCCCAGCAACCACATGGTGGCTTAAAACCATCTTAATGAGATCTGGTGCCCTCTTCTAGCCTGCAGGCATACACGAAGAAGGAACAATGTGTACATAATAAATCAGCCAAAAAAAAAAAAAAAACGTGGCAAGGTTTGTGGGTTTTGTTTTGTTTTGTTTTTCCCAAGACAGGATTTCTCTGTTTAGCCCTTGCTGTCCTGGAACTCACTCTGTAGACCAGGCTGGCCTCAAACTCAGAGATGCACCTGCCTCTGCCTCCTGAGTGCTGGAATTAAAGGTGTGTGCCACCACTGCCCAGCTACTTGTTTTTCTAAAATGATTGTTATTCTGAAATGATAATGCTGTCAACTTTTTCTACATAAAAATATTTATTATTGTCTTTTTGAAGCAGTCTTACTTTGTAACCTTAGCTGGCTTAAAGTTCATTATGTAGATCAGGCTGGCCTCAAATTTGCTATGTTCCTTCTGCCTGTGCTTCCTCAATGCTGGAATTATGTGCTACCTCATTTGTTTTAAAAATATAATTTTTTTACCCCGGTTTTTTGAGACAGTTGCTTTGTGTAATAGTCCTGGAGGTACTGAAACTCACTTTGTAGACTGGCTTCGAGGTCACAGAAATCTATCCGCCTACCTCTGCTCCATCGTGCCCGGCCAATTTGTTTCTTAATTAAGTGTCTTTTGAGAAATACTAAGACATTGCATAGTAGGCTGATTTGTGGCCTGTCCTAGTTTGCTTTTGTTGCTGTGGTCAGAAGCTGACCAAGATCAATGGGAAGGAAAGGGTTTATTACACTTCTGAGTCAGAACCCATCAAGGAAGCCTCAAACGAGCTTAAGCAGGAGCCTGGAGACAGAGGCCAGGCTTAAGCAGAGGTCAGGAGGCGCATTGCTTGCTCTTCATAACCCAGGACCACCTTCCAAGGTGCTCCCTCCCACAGTGGCGCCGTCAGTCATCAGTCAAGACAGTGTCACAGGCATGTTCACAAGGCAGTTTGATGAAGGCAATACCTCGGCTGAGGTTTCCTCTTCCCTGTTGTCCAAGTTGGCAGCAAAGATTAGCCATCGCCTTGCCGTATTCACAGCAGGACACAGCAGCATTATTTGGATTTTGGTACATATAAATGGTTTCTTCATTAAAGCTTTTTCTCTTACAGTCTCTGCCATCCTGGACCCTGCCCGCCCTGCCCTGCTTTTACAACTAAAGCATGTGAATGTGGACGCACCAGGTAAAGTTAGAACTGGACTGAGGAAGAAGTCAGTTTCCATATGCACGATTCACATGTGATTGTCTGATGTAGATTAGTAAGCAGATAGAAGTGAATGGTTGGCATAAATAAAGTCATACCTGATGTCCCTGGGGACTTGGTTCCAGGACCTCTGGGGTTAAGGCAAAGCTAGAACCAAAGCTCTGTTAGCATCTTGTGAGGTAATCGTTCTGGCTGTATGCAGTGCAAACATGCCTGGTCCCAGGACACTGCTTTTGTGCTTCTAGTCTGAGCGTCTCAGATCTGGGCACACTGCTCCTTTCTTCCCTGTTTCGGAGGAAGCTAGGCAGAGTGAGAGAAGAACCCAGACTTCACCCATCCTTCCAGGGTTCTTTCCCCTCCTGCATACTGCTCAGTAGAAGACAGATGAATGATGATTAATTACCTAGGACAGATTCTCAGAGCGAGCCTTCATTTCTTCACTAATTAGAAAAGAGGGAAAGGCAGGAACAAAGGAGAAAGAAGTGGAAGGGATGGAGAGAATAGTTGAGGAACTAAAAATTGGTAGGATGGGGCTGGAGGGATTGCTTGGTGATTTAGAGTGCATGACCATTTTAGAAGACGAGATAGTTTCCAGCACCATGTTGGGCAGCTCACAGCTGCTGGTTACTCCACCTCTGAGGGGTATGACATCTGTAGCCTCTGTGGGCACCTGATCTCTGTTTATAAGAACAGAATTTTAAATAATAAAAATAAATCTTTAAAAATTAGAAGAAAACATGTTAGGGGCAGCAAAATCAAGAGAATGTTTACTGGGTGTTCAGGGAAGGGTTTGGATTTTACTGTTATTTTGTCTATATAGTGAGGACTTTCAGAGTAATGTATTTGTGTTTTTATAGGCACACAGTTCGCTGTGGTCAGGCTGTCTCAGTCCACTGTTCTAACGTGTGTGAAAATATTTTGAACTGTGGTCAACACCACTGTGCTGAGCTGTGCCATGGGGGTCAGTGCCAGCCTTGCCGGATCATATTAAACCAGAGTAAGTGGAATGCACATGTTAGCAATGCTCAATTTTTCTGGAATTGTGTGTTATGTCAACTATATTACAGCAAAACTGCTTCACAGAAGCCTATACTAGAGGGAAGGTTTGGGGGATGGGCATCAAAAACAAGCTCATAGTGAGGTGTCTGTCTATGTACTTAACCAGGGTTTCTAAAATTAAAAAAAAAAAAAAAAAACAAATGTTGGCAAGGGCATTTGGCATCTTCATTCAGTGTTGGCAGATGTACAAAATGCTAGTCATTTTGGACAACTGTTTGTCAGTTTCTTATAAAATTAAACATATGTATATGTTATGACCCAGCCATTCCGCTCTGATATTTGCATACCAAGTATGCAGAGAAAGGACTGTACAGGAATATGTGTTTCTAAGAACCTCAAACTGAAAACAACCTAGATGTCCTTTAACTGGAGGAAGGAACAGATAAGTGAATTTTTTTCCTTTCTTTTTTTGAGACTGGCCTTATTATGGTGGCCAGAATGTTCTCAAATCCCTAGCGTTCTGCCTTACCTTCCCAAGAAGCTGGGACTAAGGAGTGTACCATTAAATAGTCTTTTGGCCACATATGTAGTTTATTTTGTCACATGTTGATTCTTCAAGGACCTTTTTCAGCCTTATCTAGAAATTGAATGCACATTGCTTCTGGGTGTTCATTAAATGCCAAACATACAGCTTAAGGCTGGTTCCGTAATACTGTTCAGGCAGCTGTGACCCTTGACCCTGCTGCTACTCTTGTGGTTCTGTCTCTCTTGCTAAGCACACCCAGCAGCCTTTTGGTATTGAACTCATGATCATTTCCTAATCAACTAGAGAACTCCATTTTGTTTTTATTGTGATTTTCTGCACTACCCTCCTTTCTCCCTCCATGTGCATATATGATTGTGTGGTATATGTTCGTGTGTATAATAAGCATGTTAAAGTATGTGGGCACAAGTGTGTTTCAACAGGTGTCACGTGTGAGCATATGAATACCTGAAATTGGCATTGAATGCCTTCCTTAATTACTTTCTACTTTACTCTTTTACATTTATGGGATTTATATATTGTGTATGAAAGTATGTGTGTGGAGACACATGCCATAACGTGGGAGATTGAATCAGTTCTCTCTTTATGCCTCCTGAGTTCCAGGGATCGAGTTCTGCTTATCGGGTTGGCAGTAGGCATCCTTACCTACTGAGCCATCTCACCAGCCTCATTCTCCACTTTACTGAGTCCAGAGCTCTTTGATTGGCTAGTCTAGGTAGCTAGCTTGCTCTAGGGATCTCCCATTTTGTCTCCTGAATATTGGGATTATAGATTGCCTTCCACACCTGCCAGCCATTTATGAGGGTTCTGGGAATTAGTTAGAACTCTGGTCGCCTTGCTTGTTTGGCAAGTGTTTTTTTCTTTCTTTTTTCTGTGCTTGATCACTTTTATAAACCTTCCATCATGTTAAACACACCCCTCCCAACAGGGCTGATCAAACAGGCAATCTGAGACAGTGCTTAAATAGACAACCTGAAGACCTTTACTTTGATCTGCATTTATTTTATGCTGAATTTATTCCCTTGCCATAAGTTTTTGTTTCTTCTGGGATATCTTTTTCTTCTGTGCACCCTCCTCTTGTGGCTTCTGGACAGTTTGTTCATTTCAGTGAGGATCATCCATTGTGGCAGGGGATCTCGTGTACGGATTTATCCTGAGCTCCATCAGTTCGTCAGCGCATCTTTGGTGCTTTGTTCACTGGTCGATGGTGTGAGACCATCCATCTAAACCCTTCCATCCAGCACTGCTCTGTGTTTTTAAGCACATGCAGCAGAAACTCAGCACTTTTTTTTGACCACTGACCCTGTGTCCAGCCCTACTGTGTTTGGCCTGGGCGCACCTACCGCCTTCACCATTGTACTATCAGAATGCACCCATTGCTCCTTTAAAGTGACATCTTCCAGGTATTTTGGTGGCTTTTCTGATATGCATACCCTTGATGGCCTGGGCAGTTTCATGGATGTTCTTAAAGTGAACCCAAAAATTTGATCCTCTTTGCATGATTTTGTAGGTTTTTCTGGGTCAAGAGGGTAGCAAATCATCTTCACAGGTTACCTCAGGCCACTTACATCTTGGCAAGTGTTTCTCCACTGAGCATTCTCCCTAGCCCAAATGTCCTGCCTATTAATTTACTCTTTCTTAGTTATAGCTGTATGTTCATTACCTCTGACAAAAAGACTGCTCTGTTTGGGTAGAAATACAGCTAAGAGCCTGGCATGGGGACTGATACCTGAAACCCCTGCCTTTAGAGGCTGAGACGGGAATGGTGAGAGTTTGAGGCCCACCTGAGCCATCATAACAAGTTCAGGCCAGCCTGCCAAGCCAGACCCTGCCTCAGAAGGAAAGAAAAGAAAGAGAGGAAACAGAACATGCCAAAGGAAAGGCTGCTTGTAGGAAGCTTTTGGTTGCTAGATTTTGCTCATCAGTTCATTGATCCAAAGGTATTAACTGTTCCCTTTATATTGATTCATCCAACAAATATTTGAAGAGATAATGAGTTTTAGAGTGGTGGATAAAGATGCACATATTCTTATTAGAAGACAGAATGTCTTTTGTTTTTTTAATGTGTATGGGTGTTTTGCCTGTGCATGCATGCAAGTGTGTGTGTCTGTGTCTGTGGGTGCTTGTGTGTTTGGTACCACATACATGCCTAGTGCCCAAGGAGGCCAGAAGAAGACATTGGATTTGTGAAACTGGACTTACAGGCAGTTGTGAGCCATCACATGGGTGCTGGGGAATTGAACCTGGATCTATAAGAGCAACTAGTACTCTTAACTACTGAGCCATCTCTCCAGCACTGGAATGTTTATTTTTAAAATGTAAAAAGTTTATGTTTTGGTGACTTGAAGCTATGTCTTCTCATATGCCAATAGTTCTGTCTAATACACTATTTTATAGATAGGATTTTTTAATTAATTAATTTATTTATTAAAGATTTCTAGGATTTTTTTTATGAGTTCTCACTATGTAGCCCTGTCTTGCCTAGGACTTGTTAATAAACCAGGCTGGTCTTGAACTCAATTACATTTATTCTTCTGTTCATTTTCTGTACCAGTAGATAGCCTAAGTTGTCCTTAGGAAGAAATTACCATTAATTAGTTACATGGAATTTCAGTTTTGTTTCTATTCTTTTGGTCACCATTTATCATGTGAGCAAGGTATACATGCATAAATTAATTTGTGATAAATATCCTTTGTGGAAAAAAAAAGTGCCCCCCCCCAAAAAAAAAAGATTGTGGGGCAGTGGTGACACACGCCTTTAATCCCAGCACTCAGAGGCAGGTAGATATCTGAATTCCAGGACAGCCAAGACTACACAGAGAAACCCTATCTCAGAAAAAGAAAGAAAAAATTGTAAAGTGATGCTTATGAGAAAAATTATGTAATTTAATGAAAATAACTTCAGATTTAACAGTAGTAGTAATCCAAATTATTAAGAATTTCATATTGTGGTAATGTTTTTTAATAGTGAGGCCTTTTTGAAAGCATTTGATATAAAGTATCAAGAATCCATTTTGCTTGTGTTGAAGTGAAAATGGGGACTCTGGATGTCAGCTGCTCTACTACCATACCACCAATTAAGCCTGCAGTGCCTTCTGCCATGGGGCTCCCCTAGCCCTAGGTACTAAGTTGTGTCCTTTTAGTTTGAGGCAGTCTGAAGAATATGTTGCGAGGCCCTAAGAGATATTGGCGGAGGAACGGGAGCTTTTATTTGTTCCCATGTAAAGCTCTTAGGTGTGTCAGAGAGCTCCTGTATAAACCATAGTAATTTTAGCATCATGTCTGACCTATGCTAATGAATATTTATAGACTATTGGGAATATTTTTAAAGCATGGATAGGTTGCTAATTTGTCTTTTAAATTGTGTCCTCAAGTGTGCTACTGTGGCAGCACCTCCCGAGATGTGTTATGTGGAACAGAAGTGGGGAAATCTGATGGATTTGGGGACTTCAGCTGTTTAAAGATATGTGGCAAGTAAGGTTTTACTTTTTCTTACTTAATTTAAGTTGCTTTTAGTTAAAACTTCATTTTATGTAACAGTTACATAATTGTCTATTGTTTTTATTAAAAGGGACTTGAAATGTGGGAACCATACCTGTTCTCAAGTGTGTCACCCTCAGCCTTGTCAGCCTTGCCCACGGCTCCCCCATTTGGTGCGATGTTGCCCTTGTGGCCAAACACCTCTCAGCCAGTTACTGGAACTTGGAAGTAATGGTCGGAAAACATGCATGGATCCTGTCCCTTCGTGTGGAAAAGTGTGTGGCAAACCCTTGTCCTGTGGTTCCTCAGGTAACTAGTTGACATAAAATTCATTTTATAGAATTTATTTGGGGGCTGAAGAGACAGCTCAGTGATCATCCAGAGACCCAGGTTCCATTCTCAGCACCCACATGGTGGCTCACAACTGGTTATCTGTAATAGCATTTCTAGAGGATCTGATGTCGTTCTTCTGGCCTACGTGAATATAGAGACAGCCCACACATGGTGCACAGACATACACATAAAATAAAAATTGAAAAGTTTTTTTTTTAATGAATGTAAATGTTTAGCAGCAATGATGCTTTAACCAAGTAATAAATGCCACTCTAAAGAGGTTCTCATAAACATAATAATCAAATTTGGACAGGTACTTTTTTATCTTTTTACTCAAAGTACTCTTATGAAAATACAGATTTCCCAAGTGATTTCTCCAATTTTGTTGACGTCGTTGGTTCTCTGAGCGCCTACTCTAGTGCAAACACCATATATATATATATATATATGGACAGATCCAGCATTCCACACATGTTTGCATGCCATCTTTTGTAATAGGAGCATGCTAAAACAACTGGGGGAGAAATTTAGGTCTGAAATTCCAAATGACAGAGTCTCAGCCAATTAAAGCACTTAAACAGTGCCTTCTAGCTAAGCCTCCTGGATAGCTGAGGGCAATACCTTGAGCATCATTTTTGGATGGATGCTTTTCTAAGATGGGAATTTTTCTATGCAGCTCTGGCGAGACTGGTACTATGTAGCTGAGTCTGGCATCAGATTGGTGGGTAGCTTCCTAACACAGTCTCTCCAGGGCTGGATGACTGATAGGAGCCACCATACCCAGATTGTATCATCTATAAGAAACCAGTCACTGAAGATAATTCTTTCCCGCTGTGATTGAGCACACATCTTTCTGTGGAGCCCCTCAGGTTTATCAGGCTATTTGCTCTACTCCTGTGTGCAGTTTGGATTGTTTTATATGCTTTCTGAGGATTTTTGTTGTGTTTCTTGTTAATATTTTTAGTGTGGCTGCCTCTGATCACTAATGATACCTTGCTTCCTCTTTTGTGACTTCTGGTCATTTGGATATAGAAATCAGAAAATTTCATCAGACTTTCTTCCTAAAGCAGGGTTTTGTGTGTCCCAGAATTACCTCACACTTGCTATGTAGCCGAGACTAACCTTGAGCTTGTGATTCTCTTGTCTCCAACTCCCAAGGACTCTGACTAACAGGCCTTAAATTCATTACATAATCAAATTGACCTTGAAGTCCCAATCCTCCTGAGTGCGCACAGTCGCGCACTCCTTAGGAAATTTTAATGCAGTGCTGGGGATCAGACCCAGGGCGTTCTGCAAGTTAGGCAAGCACCCTACCAACTGAGTTACATCTCCTGTCTCAAGAAAGGATAAAACAGAAAATTTTACCCTAAATCTGGTTAGCTATCAGGTGAATGTAGGTTGTCCACGTCTATAATGACAACAGCCTCAGTTGGTGGAATTTGGATTGTGACTTCAGAATTATCTGTGATTCCCAGGTAGCTTATAGAGCCCGGAGCATTTCATCGAAGTCATACATGATTAGATTCTAGGGAGATGTGAATCTAATATAAAGACTTTGCTTGGCACCTAAAGCAAAGGTCAGAAAAATCTATGCTTTGTGTCAGCAAGCAGCATGCATACCAAAACATATTCCAGCGACTGATGCTAGTCTCTGTCTTTGAACGTGCCCGGCTTGGATGAAGGGAAGCCGAGGGAGAAGCACTGACCACATTCTTCTCCCTCAGCTCCACTTTTGGAGTTATTAGGAGTAGAGGTGGAAAAACGGTGTTGGTAGTGAATTGGAAGAATCAGAGTAAGTCGCTGCGATTCTCACTCCCCGCTCTTTCCTTTGTATTGAAGATTTCATCCATACCTGTGAGAAGCTCTGCCATGAAGGAGACTGTGGGCCATGCTCTCGCACGTCAGTCATTTCCTGCAGATGCTCTTTCAGGACAAAGGTAAACTGTTAGAGTCCCTGTCATCGCCTCCTTTTTAAATGGTGATTGTCAGTGAGGAGGACCCAAAATAACCCAGTTTACTCACTGGATCCCACCTATGTACACTGACATACCTACCGTGCCCCATTTTTAGGATAGACTGGAGGGTTATAGCACTCGCGGTTCGGAGGTCAGTCACAGGGGTGAGGCAGTGTTAGCAACTGCAGGTGTGAAGAAGGAACAAAGACTGCTCTCATTTAGCCAAATGAGAATTGGACACAGCCCTCAAAACTCCTCCCCTGAGAGTTTGGACCGCTGCTGAAGTAGCCAACATGCTCACTTAATTCTTCTGAGCTGAAGGTCAGGGGCCCCAGGACCTCACACAGCCTGGTAATTTGGCAGACTCTTCTAATTCACTGAAAAACTGAAAACTATCACAGTCATTGTTACAGTTTTTCTTTTGTCTTTTTCCTTTTTTTTTTAAGATTTGTTTATTTTATGGAAATGAGTACTCTAACTGCAAGTACCTCTGGAAGAGCAGCCATCTCTCCGGCCCCACCAGTGCAGGAAGGGACACAAACTAAAATTAGTCCGTGAGGAAACATGTAGGAAAGAATATGAGAAGGGAGCACATGTGAAGCTTTTGTTTGTCATTTGTCCTTCCCCATGGAGTTGGGACAGCATTACCTTCCAGTATCTGACAGTATATGAGAGTATTCCAGCCAGGAAGGCTCACCGAAGCCTGTGTGTTGAGAAGTTTATTGTACTGGTATAATTTACTACCTACAAAGCCAGTCTGTCTTTCCAGAGTTTGTGTGACCAAAGCCTCAACCTTAAGACTGTCCAGTGTGGCCAACCTGCTTCTATGGCATAGTCTTAGACTATCCAGTTGACACAAACCATAAACAAATAATGTTATTCGACTAAACAGCATCTTTTGAGAGTCAA